CTGAATTGTAATCCCTTGACAAGTAGTCTTCAGCATGTTGCTTATAAAGATACAAAAATAGAACTTATAAATCATCACATTTACAATAATTTTAATGGGAAAGTGGTTTTGAAATCCTTTGGCATCTATTTGACACAGTTGATCAATGCAGATGAAATACTAAATAAAGCATTATGTGTGTATGTGGGTTAATGGACCTGATAAAAAGGAGTACTCTAGCAGTAGATAAATAAATGTCCTTGTACGTTACACTGTGACAGACTATATTATGGCTGATTCACACAGTTTAGATATATACATAGAATCATAGAAAGGCTTGCGCTGGAAGGAACCTTAACAATCATTTTGTTACTATCCCCCTGCCATGGGCGGGGACACTTTCAACTAGATCAGGTTGCTTAGGTCCCCATCCAACCTGGCCTTGAACAGTTCCAGGGATGGGGCATCCACGACTTCTCTAGGCAACCTATTCCAGTGCCTCATCACCCTCTTGAGTAAAGAACTTCTTCCTAACATCTCGTCTAACTCTCTCCTCTTTTACTTTAAAACCATTCCCCCTTGTCCTATCACTATTTGCCCATGTATAAAGCAACTCTCCCTCTTTTTTATAAGCCCTTTTTAAGTCCTGGAAGGCCACAATGAAGTCTCCCTGAAGCCTTCTCCAGGCTGAACAACCATAACTCTCTCAGACTGTCTTCATGAGATTCTCGTGGGCCCAGTTCTCAAGTTTTTCCAGGTTCTTCTGAATGGCATCCCATCCTTCTGTCACATCAACCGCATTGCTCAGCTTAATGTCATTTGCAAACTCACTGAGGGCGCACTCAGTCTCACTGTCTGTGTCATTGATGCACATATTGAAGAGCACCGGTCCCAAGACAGAGCCCTGAGGGACACCACTTGTCACTGGCCTCCCCCGAGACATAAGAGCCAGTGACCACAACTCTGGCTGCGTCCATCCAGCCAATTCCTTATCCACCAAATAGGCCCCCCTTCAAACCCATGTCTCTCCAATTTAGAGATAAGGGTGTCATGTGGGACACTGTGGAAAGCTTTACAGAAACTGAAACGTAGTTGGAAGTGAGATTCAATTTGTTAAACCTTGGTGCAAATACATCTATGTACTATCAATAAAGTATACTTTTATGTAAAGAAAACGTTTCCCCCCTTTTATACATACCCACCTGCAGAATAATGCTTAACACTGAAGAGTGGCATTGATGTTGATCAGTTCATGTAACTGTAGGGCCCATGGCAGTACATCATACTTCTTAATCATTTCGATGGGCTTTCACATGTGTCCTGTAAGATCTAGCTCTTAGCACTTTTATTAGTTTTGAATGCCCTTTTATACCTGTAATGTCTTCACTGATTTTAGTAGAAACTCCTAAAGAAAAGGTTTTCCTGCTAAAAGTAAGTCAGAATTCTGGTCCAAATAGCATTACAGTCCAAGGGCTGAACATGGTGTAACAATAAGTCTTTTTCCCATTCCACATGCTGACACAGGGCTTGGGTTTTACAGTAATGATGACAAACTCCCTAGAAAATAAACATGTGAAAGCTGTCAGATATTTTATGGAAATCACATTTTCCTAGCAGCAGGGGGGTACTGATGGCTGTGCATAGAACAAAATTTCTTTGCATTCAGATTCTGAATGAGCCATTTGAACAAGCAGTTATAATCAACATGGATTTATCTTTAATATTCTTGACTATTTCATCCCCAAATGCTCTTTTCTGGCCTTCCCTGATCTTGATGGTTGCTGGCAGCAGATGGAACTCAGACAACCAAGAATGGAGAGTAAAATGCTGATAATTATTTAATAATGATACTGAATTTGGGGAAGCAGGGGAAGACTTGAGAGAAGCATTTATGCAGACCAGAGGAACAACCTTTTCAGTTACATCTCCATAACTGCCAATATTCTCAGGTATCTACTGTCTGGTGGACAGCTGACATACTTTTACAGCTAGAAGCTGTTGAGTGTTCACAATTCACGTCTCGTGTCTGCTGTGTCAGGTATGGTAGAAAGGCAAGGGGTTACATCATGCCTGCCCTTCAGTTTCTAGCTGCAGTTCCTTCAGCAGTAAGATACTACAAATACATAACAAAATAGCAGCACTCGTGTGAAAATTTTGAAGAAATTCTGGAAACAAAACACAGCTCCAAAGACAGCAAAGACAGGCTCCTCTGGGCAAACAGAACCAGAGGGGCATGCCACACTTGCCTGCATCTACCTGTGATCACGGAAGATGTAGTAGCAATTAAGAGCTGTAGCATCTATCCTGTCACCTTGCGTGTCCGCAGTCCCGCAGTACAGCAGCCAGCTGGCGGTCAGTGCCTCCCACGCCAGCGAGGGCTTATCGCTGGCTCCCAAAGCCTGAAGCGGGGCCGGCGCGCGTTCATTGAGGAGACAAGCGGTGCCACGGTGCAATGCCGCCGCGTACCGGCAAAGACACCCCAGTCATCCTGCGTCAGAGGCCAGAGGTGACAGACACGAGAGGGGTCGAAGACGCTGACGGAGGGAAGCTCCCTCCTGGACAGGCTCTGTCCCGTCCCATCCCGCCTCCTCCCGTCCCGCCCCGCTCCCGGGCCGTGTTCCCACAGGAGGTGGCCGTGGCCCCCATGGCCCTGCTTGTGGCGCTCAGAGCGAGTTACAAGATGACTCAGAAATCAACCGTAATGACAACTGAAAGGACCTCCCAGGGGTTGTGGCTGACGGTCAGGTGGAAAACATGTCGAAGACGGAGGAGATCATACAAATAACTCGCCTCCTTCAAAGTGCTAAACCCTGGGAACGCTTTTCAGTACAGAAATGTAAAAGCAGAGAAAATGAGGAAGTAGGTGGCACATGAGGAACAACAATGCATCAAAGTATTATCCTGCTGCTAGGTTGGGCAATGAGATCCCTCTGTCACCAGCACAGCCTGAGGGCATGTAAGCCTGCAGCTCGGGTAATGAAGCAAGTACTGAGTCTCAGTCAGTTCTCCCTTTCCCTGTTTTATCGTGTATTACTTTAGCATTGACATGTTGCCGCACCAAACAGAGAGGTGCCCATCAAGTATCTGCTTTGTTTGTGACCTCTGAAGAGTTGAACTTTTTAACTGCATTCGCAATTTGAGGTACTCGAACCTTCCCCAGCCCCAGGATCCCAATAAATGTCCTTCATAATACTCCACAGCCTGTTAAGTATAGTCTTTAAATGCTACACATGGAAATACCTCAGACACCCTACAACCATGCAGCAAGGTCACCCATCAGGTCAAATCTTTGAAGTCAAAGTATTACGTTCCTAGTTTTAAGTGGGAGGTGGCATTGGTATCCACCACGTCACTCCATTATAGCAGATGCACTCTATGCCTTACACCTCTGCAATGTGTCTCTTACAAAGTACTTCTAGTACCTGCTGGGGATTTTGCATACAATTTGTGCTCTCTTTGTTCTTTCTAAAACTAGTATGCATACACTATTTGAGGAAAACAAATACTACTTGATCCTTCACAAAGAAAAGACTGGCATTGTAAAGATATTTTTATATTCATATGGGGTGCTGTTTCTCATTTACCAAGTTTTTACAGTGCGGACTGAAGGGAAACTTCTCCTTTAAATAGCACTAAATGAGAGAAATCAAGGTTATATGTTTCATGGGACAAAATCCATTTTAACTAATTGAATTAGATTATTTCAGATATAGTTCAAGATTTACATGTATACTTCTAGGTTTTTAAGATAGCTTGATCAGCATTTTCAAGTAAAGAATGTTTCACCTGGCATACTGAAACTATTCTAGCTGTGGAATAAGAATACTGATAAGAGATATTAAGAGATTTGGAGGACTATGAGATGGTGTAAGTTTTAACAAGCTACAGTGAAATCAGAATTTATTCAATTTAAAACGTGTCATATTACAACTGTGAAACCAATTCTGTGTGAGCCTTGGTTGATCTTTGCCTCAGTGAGACATCTTTCTCATGTATTCTGTTCAGCACATCAGCCCACAGTTTTGAGAGCAGTTCACATTTTGTGCTTATAACACCATCAACTGAAAGAATTTCCCAGAGAGCACTCTGAATTGCATCTCCCCTGTCCAAAAGTGTTGCTTCTAACACTAATGCTTGACTGAGATGCAGTAAAAGAATATGAGCAGCTGTGAAGACTCTCTTTCCATTAAAGGTGAGATGGAAAAACCCCAATCACCCCCACCATACACTGATTTCCTCCCAAATGGGAAGCACTGACAAATACACAGACACATGTACCACCGCTTGATCATTCGACAGTAATTTGGAGATATCTGCAATCCCATTTCACAAGTATCTGGGCCACCAACTTTTGCTGGTCCTTCAGCAGGACTATGACTTCAACAAGACAATTGGACAGTAAATTCATCCCCATGTGTACATAATCTGTCTGTTCCCCAAAAGGCTTTAGGCAGAATCTGAGCTGGTTCTGGGATTTCAACTGCAAGATAGGAATAATCTCCTGACATTACTGAACAGCATATAACACATGGCATACCAAATGCGTTCAAGGGCCTTCTGAGGGTAGGTATCCAGGCCGCTTACGCTGATGAAGGTTTGTAACTGAAGGAAAAGGTAACTTTTTAATTTTTGTGTAATTGCTTTTTTTCTTTAAATCAAGCATAGGAAATCCCATGCAAGGAATGACACATAATGCAAGACTAGGACTGCAGTTGGTGACTGAGAAGGCAGGACGTGCACAAGGTGAGATACAAAACTCACCTGATCATGTAAAATTTTATGATACAAGCTTCATCATACAATCTCAAGTTTTTTAGCTGCAAATGTATCTAAACTTCACCTCCCAGATGTAATAAGGGGAATGTAACATGGGGAATATACAATGTAACAAGGGGAATGGTAGATCATCTATCAAAAGGTAAAACATTCAGTAACAATTGTACGGCTTTTTGAAAGATGTACAATACAGTTCAAAAGATTTGTAGCTCAAGACAAGAATAATCAGAAACATTCATGGTATGTATGATGAGAAAAGCCAGACTATATTGTCATAATCATCTCTTTTGCCTATAAAAGATATGAATGCCAGAAAGCAAACAGTCCCTATAAAACCATAATGTTCTCCAGAAGATTTTGCCTGTAACATAAAATCTTAAGTCTCTCTTCTCAACAAATGCATCCATAAATGTATGATAGAGAAAAACAGTGTTCTGCTCCCATCTTGAGCTATATAGCCTTGCAAATAAAACAAACAAAAAACCCACTTAAATTCATAGACAGATTTCCTTAAATCAGATGAAGCAAGCAAGTAATTTTAAGTAGCTTTAATAATATTATTCGAGGCTACTTGTATTATACAGAATACTGCCCTGTCCTTGATACAGACATATGCTAATGTATCCCTATTGGCACCAGCTTAAACAGGAATAAGTCACAAATAGGGCTACTGTGGTACACCATCTCCATAAGCACTTCTCTGAGATGGCTGTAGTGGCAATTTTTCCAGTTATGGGTCTGCTGCTTAGTGCATTTTGGCTACAATTCTGCATACTGTTGTTACAGTTTTGAAATACCAAAGAGATTACAACAGAATGCACTAACACCCTGACAAAAGCCACTGAAATTCAGAGTTAAGAATGCTGTAAGGTTTACCCATGGGAGAAAAGACAGGAGTTAGTGAATGGAATTTCCCAGTACACATTCACATAAGTTACTTAAACATGGAATATTTTATAGGGTAGGTCGGTTGCCCTTTAGTATTGCACACTTTACCAAGGTTATCAGCTGACCTGTGACCATGCTATTCAACACTAATAGAATAGTGACACAGGTGAGGACAGATGAAGAATACATGTCAAAAATGCTTATGTTCATCCCTATGAATCTATTGTGCTATTTCATGAATTTCAAAAAGTACCCAAAACCACTTACTGGCTTGAAAGAAACAGGCTTTTTCTTATCTCATGCACAAAAGAAATTAATTGGTCTGACTACAATGAGAGATAAAAGTGATTCTCTATCAGTGTGTTTTTAATGAGTATCACACACAGTGCAGATGTATAAATCAGAGCACAGCTTTATGCTCTTCACTTCATTTTACTTACCATCAGTTCCTATTTCACTTTTAAGGTCAGTACAATACTGGAAAAAACACAAGAAAAGACTGAGTATTGAAGAATACTTCTTAAGTCATTAGTTTTTGTAATTTTAATGGTGTTAGACTTTAGCAAATTTTGAAGTCATAAACTAGTTAGCTTTACAATATTCAAATATTGTTAGTCTTAAAAGACTGCTCATTTGAAGGCTGCACTCTCCCACTCAATTTACAAACTGCCCCTACTTCCTTACACTGATGATGTAACTGCCTTGTTTGCAGTGTCTTGGTCAGGATACAAATACAGTGGGCTTTGTGATGAATTTGCTCTTGGAGGTGGTTGTGTACTAGTCAGTCTTTCAGAATTTCCTGGAGAATTCTCCCTCCACCTTGGACTTGTCTGCTCCTCAGACACTTGCCATACAGATGGGCACGGGGAGGTAAAATTCATGGTAGACCGTGAGAGGTAGTTCTCCTGAAGACCTTCTTCCTGGAGGCACCTGTTTGAAAGTACTTCTTTTTCTTTGGAGTTTCGCCATTTCATCCTTCGATTCTGAAACCAAATTTTCACCTGTTTGCAAGTCAATGAAAGTTTATTATAATTCTTTTCTTTAAACAACTTTGCCATAACAAATGGGTTTTTTTCTTTCCATTCTCTTAGTTTCACATTTCTTCCTTATTCGTTGTTACAGTAGAGATCTGGTGAAGCTAGCTGACTGACTTCATTTGAGGATTTTCTCATCACTATTTACTACAACTGGGCCAAATATTCTCCTTGACTTTCACCACCTCCAACAGGTGATTACTTGGCTTAGACTGGAAAATGGACAGCCCAGTGGCTAAGGCTAGAGCAGTTTCCTATAGCAACATACTTCTAGACAGAAAAGAATTCCCAGAGAAAATTAACATCATCATTAAAAAAACTAAGCCATATTACTAGCGATGTGAAGCCCTCTATTTAAAAGAGGCTGTAAGAAGCATGACTGTTCCTTTTACAAGCATAGCTAAAACCAGCTTGGCCATATAACTTCAAAATGTGTGTGTGACATAGGACACAGGAGTGAGGATTTAAAGACATTTTGTCTGCATGACTACAGTTTTCCAGGAGTTGCCAAGAATCCGTGCGCTTTTGACAGAAAATAAATTTTACAAAAACTTTGAGTTGCAACTCTTTAACACAAGCATTCAAAGGCATTTATGAAATGCTGGGGAAAGCTTGGGGGAACATACATCTAGAAAGTGGTTTTACACAAAGAGAATAAAGGTGAGGGTGATCAATCAAATTATTCAGATCCTGTTCTATTTTCCTTTAAACATTTGCATTTAGGTCTAGTACTCAGATACCTGACAGGAGGACAAAGGGGCTATGCTTTCAAAGGTTTGAGAATCATTGCCTTAGATGGCAAGGACTGTTCCTCCAGCACAACTGGTCAGAAAACGGAAGAAGTAATGTTCATAGCAACTGTGCTGTTCTTTTCAAGAGGGGAAAAAAAGAGACAGATATCATCTGGTCTATCACTATCATTAAATTATTTACCTGTAGTAGTAGTTATCTGTATATCATGCCATTATTTTTCACTCCCCCAGGCTCTCTTGAATAACATGACCACAGAAAATAAACTCAAGGAAACAACTGTAATATTAGGCATTGGAATACATTTTGGGAAAATTTTAGGCAGCACACTGGTGAGTGCAATTGAGCATTTCCATTAAAATAGTTTTCCTGCAGAGATTATATTTCTGTTCATCACACTGAGAAACACCACACTCTGCTTGTTTTAGTTTATTGTTGCAGTGCTTGCAACGGAGTCAATCAGGTTGTAAGGAATCGCTGCAGACCACCAGATCTGACCTCCTGTGCAAAGTGGAGCCAACTGCAAAGTTATATCAAATTGATGAGAGCCTTACCAATTTCTGAAAACCTCCAAAATAAAGATCCCATCACCATTCCTAGACTTTTCTGTCCCCCAGACAACTTCTGCCATTCATGTCTTAAGAATTTTCATTCCTGTTGCACGCAAAGGAACAAAAGTGTGCTGTCCCGCTCTTAGTCTTTCAGATGTAATCTAGAGGGCTGTGTCTACTCCAGCACCTTCAGAATCCCACCTATCAGCAACTACTATGTTCATTTTCTGCTGTTACATGCCCTCACAAACTTTTTCCAGTTTCTTTCAGGTTTTGTGCCCTTCAAGCACTTTTCCTTTGTTTTTATCTGCAGCTAGGTCAGGCTGAGATTCCAGATAGGGCTATTACTGCTCAGCACCACTATTAATGTACCTGTTCAGTCAGAACAGCTCACTGGAAGCCATGTGAAAAATCAGACTCATGTGAAAAATCTCATGCAATGTGAATTGGTAAGTAAAGTGGGAGTATTTTAGAAGGTCACCCTAAAAAATGTGTCCTCCTACAGTATCTCTCAGCTCTGAAGATCTCTTTCCTTGTGCAGACAAGTTTCTTTCTGTAGGGATGGTTGCCTGTCTCTTGGGGCAGAATGGTTTCAGAGCAAGTGCTGTTGACTGCATTGTCCCTAGCTGTTCATCTGCAAGTGCAAAGGGCACTCAGGAGGGCCCTATGCTCTGTTGTTTTCTGCCTAGATCACTGCCTGTCGAGCAGTGGGATGGAGCATAGTTCCCTACCCCAAAGCTCCCAAGGGGGCTCTGTCAGACAGAAAACAGGAGTCAGAAATGAAATGCAGAGGTCATGTTTCTTCTGTTTTGTATTAAAATGGATCAATCAATTTTTGAATGTATAAATAGAGGAAATAAACCAGGAAACTGTTCAAGCACTCCCTGGTTAAAACTGCCATTGATTTCCTGAGGTCTTTGCACCATGGAAGAGCTCAGAGCCCCTGTGCTGTTCAATTTTCCTCCTTCAAAGCCAGTTTTAAGATTTTTCCCCAAAAGGACAGAAAGCCACAGATATTATATCATTCCTTACCTGAGACTCCTTTAGACCCAGGTTAAGGGCCAATTTCTTCCTGTCTGTTTTACTAATATACTTCTGCTTCTGAAACATTTTCTCCAAAGCTTTCCTCTGGTCTTCGGAAAAGACAGCTCTTCTTAATATGCCTCTGCGGGACTTGGAGTTAGACTCCTGGGTCAGAAGAGGCAGCACACTTTCCTCTCCTAGTGGAAATAGATGAAAGTTTCCTATAATATCTAGCACATATCAGAGAAACACATAAGTGCTGTTCATTATAATGCTTGCAGACTCTTGTCCCAATTTTGATTTGTTGGTGTTATAAGTGTGTTGTAATGTTTCAGTCATGTTCATTAAGGACCAAATCCTCATTTGGATCTAGAAGTGTTGTCCGTAGTCAAGAGTCTCTCCTTGACACGGTACAAAGTAAATCAGATGAGTTCATAGAGGAACATTAATACAGAGATCATGCTACTGCAAAATTCAAATACAGTCAGGGAGAAACTTCTCAACTTTCCTTTGCCTGTCATCATCATTGAGTAAACTGCAATAAGTTTTCCTTTGAGTTTATTTTATCCTTGTGTGAAATGTAAAACCAGATAACAGTGGTCTCTAATACTGATTCAAAGAAACTAAGTAGGCTTTCTTTAGTTTTTTTAATTAATGAAAGGTTTTCAGAGTGAAAAATTTCTCAGAAAATCCCTGGTCATTCACTTATTCTGGAAACCATAGCAATTTCTTTATTAGAGGATTTGGGGAGTACTTGGACTTACTCCTTTCAGCCTGGTTTCTAATCCTTTGACATCTCATAGCAAGTCCAGGGAGGGCAGTTTTCAACGAATCCAATCACATCCCCTTGACCTATGCCTAGAGTGAATCCTACCCTGGAAAACAGCTCAAAGCTGGGGGACAGAGCTGCAGTGGAGAAGTAGAGGTGTTTGCATTGTCCCTTCACTGGCCTCACAAAGAGCACAGAAAACCCAAATCCAGATAAACCTCTTGCATTCCTCACACCAAATAAAATCTAAACCCATAGTGCTTTCCCATGCTCCCTCTAAGCATATGGTATATGAGGAGCAGTCCCTGGTGAGCCTTGGTATGCCTTCATCACTCCTAGCTTCCTCAAATGCTCACCCAGGGAGCAGGACCAGAGGCTGGTTGAATAGTGCCCATCACCAGGCACTGGATGTGATAACTGGGGCAGATACAAGTAGGCCAGGAAAGAGCTTCTCTCTGGCTCATAAACCTGTGCCATGGCTATATAACCACTGATACCTGCAATCTTTCTGTAGGAGTGGCAATTCAGACTCTGAAGATGCAAGTTGTCCTCCTGTTGTCCACCTTCTCATATACAGGGGCCTAGACTGCTGTCATAGCTTATAGTTACAGCAGATGGAAAGGTGTGTTGCTGTTCAATTTCTATCAAGGATCTGATAATTTTCATATCAAACCCAATGGCAAATTCCCCATGAAAAGCAGATTCTCTAAAAGACTGCACTTTTTTTTGGTGAAAAAGTCTGTCTATTCTAGTCAGCTGTAATGGAGTGGGGGGAGATTAAATACATTTGTCTCTTGAAAATTCTAATTAAATCCAGATGCAGCTTCCACAAACTGTTCCTTGGGGCTACATCACACTTCACCTTCTGTATATTATACATATATACACATGGATATACCTGTCTTTAAATACACACAGAAAAACAAACACACATATACTGAAGATATTGTAGTATCATGATGAGAAACTGAAGTGTATATGTATATGTATTGCAAAGCTGACTAACTACTTTTGTGGTGCATGTTTGACTGGTTTGATATGACATACACTACCCCTGCATCCTGCTTCCAGCTGTAACCAGGAGAGAAAGAATATCAGAAGCCGAGCAAGTGTAGAATGATTACTCCTTAAAATACACTGCCACTGTGAAATGTTACTGATTTAGAGACCATTGCATTCTGTCAATGCTTTTCTTGAATTTTTCTACACTTCAAGGACTGGTCTTCATATTTGTCCCTCATAACAGCCTGTGATAAAAAGTAATTATTATGATTTACAATGTTACATCATAAATAATCCTAAATTTATACAGAGGCATTTCAATTTTCAAAATTATATCTGAGATCAGATACAAAAATCATAACCTACTGGTTAACGTCCTGATATTTATTACACAGTGAGATACAGTAAGACTTCATCCAAATCAAAAAAACTATCTGCAGAACAAATGTCAAAATGCCACAATGGAGGTTTCTGCAAAGGGCAAGCCAGGTTCATATTTCTCTGAAGAGTGCATAGCCCCTTCAAGACCCCCACCCCAAGCTCTGATCATGCCCATGAAGCTGGGGGCAAGCTGGGGGCTTTTCTTCCTCAAGCATGTTTTCTCCCTTTCTTGCTCAAATTTGGTGAGTTTAGTTATCTTTTTCCAGGCAGTATCTGAGTAGTTTCTGCTGATTTGTCAGCCATTCTCAGGTTTACCGGAAGGTACAATCTGGCAGCAGAAGAGCTGGCACCTTCTCTCATCCCCACTGCAGGAAGAGAGACACCAGGAAGGGAAAAGGCATAACAGGGCTGGTCCTTGCCTCCTGGCCTCCATTCCACAATGGAGTTGTCAGCCGAGGACAGAGGATGCCAGATTATGTGACCCCTTAAAATTTGTCTTGCCTGGCTGATTGTTAACAGTCAATCAGCAAGGAAACAACCTCCTGCCAGAGCCCCAAGGCACCAATTAATTCCCATACAGGCAGTATGTAGGGTACAGCTTAACACCTGTATTAGACTAACTTAATAGGGAAGCATCTACACACTCTAAGGCACAGTTAAAAGATTAACTAAACAGAATTTAATTATGAGCAGGATGCTCACAAGCACTAGCAAACAGCCATTTGGTCAAAAAATTTGAAACTTATCCCAAACTGCCTAGCCTAGACAATTTTTTTAAGAATAACTCATATTCTAAAATGCACTCCAACTGGTACACAAAAACTAAATTTCATTTTGTGAATTAAAGGATTTTTCACTACAATGCAACAGGCAGTCATTTATATATTTCAACAATTACAGCAAAATTAAATATGTCAGTTTGCAGCTTGTCACTCTGAATGTGCATCAAAAGGTTTAGTGTTCTGCTGACATAAATATGACTCTGTTACTAACTATTTCCTATGTTGCTGGTTTGATTTTTGCTTTGCTTTGGGGTTTTTTTAAAGTCTTTCCTTTGTATCCTAATATATAGTGATAAATGTCCTCTTAATCTGTGGAACAATCTTCATTTGCCTTTATGTCAGAGACCACCTTGAAGGAGCAAGTAAAAGCTTTAGTCATGGTTTCCATTTTTTCATTAGAATTCAATACATTCTAGTTAAATGGACAATTAATAGGTCACTTCCAAAATAGTAGTGTATCCGTCCTGGTTAATAAACAATCCCCACAATTGATAATGGGCCTATGTATTCACCAAGTCCCTGTATACACTCAGCTCATCCACTAAATCCCTTTTCAGGTAGACAGGGTTATATGGGAAGATGAGCTAGAATGAGTCTATAAAAGTCAGTTTCATTCACTGCTTTATTTTTCAGTCAAGTGCTTTAAATGGTGTCCAGAAAATCCCTTGGAATGTGAGACAGGAGAAAAGACTGGCACATAGAGTATTGCTTTATGGCCATACAAAAGGGCAACTGACCCTTGCCCAGGCCTTTTCAATGTGAAATGGTTCCTAAAGTTCATCTGCACAGTGAAAAATTGTGGTGAGGTCGCGTGTGGATGAGTAAAGTGAAAGTGGTGATTGGTCATGGTGCTGTCAGCCATTGTGGGAGAGCCGAGGCCATGTAAAACGCTCTGTGGGAAAGTGTCAGCCCCCTAAAGAGGTGCTCAGAAACTTGCAGCTCATTAAACTGCCAGCATTTGCTGCCTCACTTGTCAAGAATCATTCAACTTAGCAACTGCCCTTCTGAAACATTCATAAAAAGCATGTACTTAGGAAGGGTTTCAATGCAACTGTGATAAAAAAGTATATGCTAGAGCACGTATAAGCTCCAATTTTCATTCGGATTTGACACACGATTTGTGCTGCTGTTTTGAAGAACAAGGAAATGCTCCTTGTGTTTGTATTCCTGAGCCATAAATATGTAAAATTATGACTGTTCTTACACTATGGTAGGCAATCTTCCCAATCAAGGTTAAATTTGGTTTTGGATTAAATGGAAGTGCATTCCAGGTCTTAATCCTGAACAGATATTGCATGGTGGTCAAAATTCTTTCCAACCTACTTCTTCAATTTTTTACATTATGATTAAAAAAGAAAAACAAATTAAACATGCACACATTTGACTGCTGCAAAAAGAGTTACTTGTATTTAAATAATGCTAGGGCTTCCTGAATCACAATTTGTCCCTAACAAACATTAAAATGCAGCACACATTTTATGATCCTTCAGCTCTTTTCTTATTTGCAAACGTTTATTGACACCGATTTTTAGAAGAGTTACTGATTTTAAAGAATTGTTTGTAGCAAACTGAAAACAAGGAGCTTTCCTAGGTTAGCTCTGTCTCAGTGTCTCAATGCCATTAGAAACCTCTCACAATTGCTCAGTGTACTTAAGTTTGATAAATCTTTGGAAACCCTCTGAATAGGATTGCTGTGATTTTACGAAGGAATTAGCCGCTGCCATTGCATCACCAATTAGTTTTCCAGAACACATTAAATCCTGCTGCTTTGGTTTACAGAATAACTCAAGCATTACTGATGAAGCATAAAAACTTACTTGGAAAAGCAGTGGGGGATGCAGGGTGCTGACAGGACCCACCACAGCATGCTGAGTAGAATGGCGGGGCTCGGAGAAAAACGTGTTTGGAAAGAGCTGAAAGGAAGGATAGATCTAATTGATTATCCATTGAGCTTAGGTGATATTCATAACAACAGTCCTCCAAAAAGTCAGTGTGTAAAGTCCTGCCCCACAAATTCTTTTTCCTTTTTTCAAGATGGTGATATTTTTAAGGCAAACAATGATAAACCAAGTAATTGCTCTTTAATTTAGCAAACTTATTTTACATGTGTAGCTTAGCTATAATACACAGAACTCTCAATATATTTATCATAAGAATGAAGCTCTGCAGATTTAAAATTTGCCTCTGTAATTGGTGTAATTATGGATTTTTCCCCTAAATATTGGTATTGAACACATTGTTTCAATAATGTTGTTGAAATAATGAGTATAATGAATCTGAAAAAGTTATTTAAAATAACTCCAGTAAGCATGACATCCTAGAAAACAAAATCAGTTTGTATTCCAATGATGTTAACAGTGCTCAAACCAGTAACATCTTCAATAAGAAACCTTTATGAATAAAATGCCATAAGATGAACAGCTGAGTTCTACAGGCCCAAGCTATAGGGCCTGATGGTCAGCTTAGTCTTGCTGGAAAAGTGCTCTAAATTTAAATAAACCAAAGGCTAAAGAAGGCTATGTTTCACACAATAAAAAATTGCAAAATCAACCCACAGAATTAGATAATACTTGGTAAAATTTTTATGCATTTTTTTAACCAATGAATCAAAAGTCTCCGTTATGTCTAAAAAGTGCTTCCACATCTTGGAAAGGTCTTTATTATCCACTAATCCTTTAATTTTCTTCTGTAAGGCTCATAGGCTTTTCCATTAAGATTAATTACCTTTCTGCTTGTACTAGTCAACTATGAAAAATGGAGTGTTTTTTTCTTTTGAAAAAAGATGCATCATGCTTGCTAGAACTGTACACTCGCAAAATGTGATCAGCATCAAAACATTTACATCACTCTCCTCATTTAGTTTAGGGAGAAAATAAGTGGTTCTAGACCCAGTCCTGTAGTTGATCTCTAAAAATAACCTGATTAATTTTTTTTTAAAAAAAGAAGTTATTGCATACTCAAGTAAAAGAAACAAGAAATCAATAATCAGGGAGAAAGGTAGATAAATAGGTAAATGTCTAAGCCATGCTGCTAATTTTTAAAGGTTTTTCAACTGGAATTAAAAATAAAGATCACTCACACTTAGGTTCCCCAGTATATATTAGGGCATTGAAATAAGTTTTCTGACCATTCAATTTGCTGTTATTCCAGAGCAATAAACTATTACTGTAAAAGTCTAATGCTAAACAATTTTTAAAATATTTACTTGCAATTGCTGATAGATAAGCATTTTGTCAGTATAGGTTTTCATTGAAACTTTGCTGTCTGTAATGAAATATAAATATACTCCAAGAGAAATTAATTGCCTATTTTTGAGACATATGCTTGCAAAACATTTACAAAAATGAATGAATTATATCAGGCATTAGTATTCTAAAGCTTCTTTTCCACAAAAGACCATCAAATGTGTAACCATGTCCTTAGAAACTTAAAATAGTCAAGAATGTGCAGCCAAATATTACTTATGTATCCAAGGGTGTAGTGTCTAAGTTGGAAAGGATTCTACTAATTCTAGAAGCACGGGAGCTGCAGAAGATAAAGACCTGCCAGATAAAAACAGCTATCCTCCTGGACACAAGAACTCATTACTGACAATATCTTTTATCTGCTGCAGTTCCCAAAATCCCAAGTTAAGAGCTTTCCCTCCCTTCCTCGGAAGACACATTCCTCATGCCATTATCAAGTTTCCCTTACAGTCAGGTAAAACTCTCCACTTCTAAAAGTACAACTTAGTATACGGAAGGTGCTACACGCCATTCCTTTGCTTCCTTTTCAAATGTCTTGAATATTCCTTGGCTGCCGTAATGCCCTATCCCCTTTAATCATTGTTCCAGTACCTTATTCATACCATACAATTTTGGGCAGACCTGTTGGCTTGTCCTTGATATTCCCTGTTGTGGTTTCTCAACTCTGTCCATCTCCTTGTTCTGTTTTGATAATGTCATGCTCAAAATGGTATGAGATATATCCAGGAGACACTTGGATAAATTGAACAAGCTATTACTTCAGATAGACAGCATACTCCTACAAACAAAGACAGGAATAGGAAGGGACAGGTTTCCTCCATTCACTAAATCTCTCAACAAGGAAGCTGCTAGCGTAAAGGTCTGAAGATGGACCAAGGTCAAAACTTGAGACATTTTGCTTAAGCAAACTCCGAACAAGCAATATAATTTCCATGGAAGTTGCTGGTTGCTCGCAATGATTCAATGCACTAGCAAAGCATCATGATGCAAACAGCAGAGATTTTGGCACTAATTCTGCTCAAGTCAACAGAAATCATGAGTCTGGCTTTCTTGGGCATTTTGCTTAATTCCTTCAACCAACTGCTGTCTTTTCTGCCTGCATGGCACATATCCCTTTAAGGCAGAATATTTGCTTAAGAAATAAGATGCAGGAGATATCTTCATGTAATTCTGAATTAAGACGTTCCTGAGACCACTTCTCAAGACTGATTTAAACTAGACCCTGAGGAATAAACAATGCCATTATGTCTCTCTAAGTCTATAGCCAACATGTATAGTATGTCTAGTTCATAAACTTCTTTAATGTGCTCCAGCTACCAATACACAAGTGAAATCTGTATTACTTATATCAAACTACATCCCTAGGTCAGGTCTACCGAAGCTGCTGCACTCAAAACAACGTTTAGCGGTTATACAGAGTTACATCAATAAAAAAAAATGACACAATACAGAGATACTCAACGCTATCTTGGGAGTTCTACGTAGAGAAAAACGTTAATGCTTCAACCTAATATATTCAAGTATATTTTTTATCTTTGATAAAAACAACACAAACTATTCATCACATTAAATGGCTTCCACTACCTGCATGAACCTGCATTAACAGAACTAAAATTATTCAGAGAAAAATTATATATTTAATATATATGCATTTCAGAATTATACTGAGATTGTAGCTGTAGGAATGACACAATACCTAGCAGAGCTGAGGACAAAGCACTGCCTATGCTTTTATTTTCTCTCCACGTATCTGATGGCAATGCTACCAATAATTATTGGCCAAGAGACCTAAAGCAAACCTTGTTTGCTGTTCACATAAGGCTGAAAATTGCTGAAATGTCAGCATACTGGTTTTGTATTTTTTAGGCCAGAACGAAATACACAGTAACCAAAAGGCAGCTGTTGCTCCCAAACATGTATAGTAACATTAACTAGGGTCCAAATCCTAATAATTTGAATTCAGGATACTTATGTTTTTCTCTGCTTTGCATCTCCATTCCATAAAAACTGAGATTGTGCAGAACTAAGTGTTTCACAAGAGTCAGTCTTTACAGTTTTAACATCACACATGCATGAAAACAAAATATCAATGTATGCTATAGGTGCCTTTTGGCACTCCAAAAATTGTACAATATACCTTAAAAGAAAATGTACTGGATCATAAATACAAAAGGATTAAATATCTAAAATAAAACAAATATTTTTTCTTACCAAAGATAAGTTTTTTTGACACTGTTGCTGCACGCAAAATTTTAGTAATAATGTTCACTACATTCAGCTTTGTGAATAGAAATCATTTTACAAACAGACAGTAAAATGATACTAAACAAGTAAATGGACCTCAAGCTCACCTACTGCTAAAACTCAAGGGAGCAGTTCAGATACTGATATTTTAAAATATACTGCCCAGTCTGAAGATATTCAAAAGCCCTTCCATTCTAAAAAATCATACTGACAGTGGGATCAGAAGTCTTTTTTCCAACTATCCACCATTTTGAGAGTAAGGTTCCTAAGTACAACTCAGTTCAAACAGATATGTAACATTTAAAATGGTTTATTATTAAAGGCACTGTTTGCTTTCCCTAATTCTACTGTTGTGAAGTAACTCAGAAAATAGTGTAGCCTATAACTCATCAGGAAAGGGGGAAGGGGTGAAGGAAAAATGGCAACTGAGGAAAAGTAAACTGATGGTAAACTTCTGATACTACCCATACAGGCTCGTTCACTGCACACACTCCTTGTCAGCTGGGGGTTTTGTAAAGATAACTGATAAAAATGTGGTATTTACCTGTGAAGAGAGATGGAACACCTCCAAAGAATGATTCAGAAAACTGCCTATAGCCAGCTAACAAGAAACAGGAAGGATGGGACCAGAGACCTCAAGCTGCATGAACACTTTAACTCTCAAAATATTGCTAAGTCCACACAAGCTCACAGTGATGCCAGGCTCCAGCCATGGCAGGAAAATAAAAAATATTATCAGTAAAATTATCAAATTTCATCTGAGAACCTTGGATGGTTTGTGCCCACAACGTGGGAGCAGATAAACCGCAATTTCCTACCTACATCCATTCTTGGCAATAATTAAAGCAGGCTTTTGCAAAGCTGCAGGAAAAGTTTCACATCACGAAAAGCTTCCTGCAAATAGTCCAACAGTGGCTCTGCCAGCTTAGCAGTCCAGCTGAGCCACAAGCTCAGCTCCTGAACCACAAGCCCAGGACCTCACAATGAGTCACAGCTCTGTCCCTAGCAGTTACTGTGTTTAGAGTGCAATATTCCAGCAGCAGTTTTGCACCCCCTAAAGCATTACAACCAGTTGAAGGAGAGCCCCTGGCCATGAGAATGGTGCAACAGCCACTGCCATATCCCACCAAAGGCAGTCATCACCACATGGACCTGGCAAAACTTACTGCAAGAGCCTGTGGTGCAGCACCCCTCAGAGCTGGCTTTCCTGCACTCCCAAGGTCACTGTCTATTTGGTTCCCATTTATTCCTGTGAACCACAATTGCATGAATGCTCAAAGGAAGTCGAGCCAAAAGGGCAGACCAGGGCAGCATATGCAGATCAGTTTTAAAATACTGGCAAACATTCACAGAAAGGGGCTTGAAGTTCAAATATATATTTCTAAATCCTACCCAAAGGCAGGTGCTAGAATCTGGCTTGCACT